CTGAGGCGCGGCAGGGAAAGGCTGCCTCCCTGGCCTCTGCAGCCCCTGGCAGAGCGGCAGTGTGAGGCACAGCGGAGAAGGCCTGCCTCCCTGGCCTCTGCAGACTCCAGAAGTGCGGTAGCCTGAGGCGCGGCGCGGAAAGGCTGCCTCCCTGGCCTCTGCAGACCATGGCAGAGTGGCAGCATGAGGCACAGCGGGGAAGGCCTGCCTCCCTGGCCTCTGCAGACTCCAGAAGTGCGGCGGCCTGAGGCGCGGCAGGGAAAGGCTGCCTCCCTGGCCTCTGCAGCCCCTGGCAGAGCGGCAGTGTGAGGCACAGCGGAGAAGGCCTGCCTCCCTGGCCTCTGCAGACTCCAGAAGTGCGGTAGCCTGAGGCGCGGCGCGGAAAGGCTGCCTCCCTGGCCTCTGCAGACCATGGCAGAGTGGCAGCATGAGGCACAGCGGGGAAGGCCTGCCTCCCTGGCCTCTGCAGACTCCAGAAGTGCGGCGGCCTGAGGCGCGGCAGGGAAAGGCTCCCTCCCTGGCCTCTGCAGCCCCTGGCAGAGCGGCAGTGTGAGGCACAGCGGAGAAGGCCTGCCTCCCTGGCCTCTGCAGACTCCAGAAGTGCGGTAGCCTGAGGCGCGGCGCGGAAAGGCTGCCTCCCTGGCCTCTGCAGACCATGGCAGAGTGGCAGCATGAGGCACAGCGGGGAAGGCCTGCCTCCCTGGCCTCTGCAGACTCCAGAAGTGCGGCGGCCTGAGGCGCGGCAGGGAAAGGCTGCCTCCCTGGCCTCTGCAGCCCCTGGCAGAGCGGCAGTGTGAGGCACAGCGGAGAAGGCCTGCCTCCCTGGCCTCTGCAGACCCCAGAAGTGCGGTAGCCTGAGGCGCGGCGCGGAAAGGCTGCCTCCCTGGCCTCTGCAGACCATGGCAGAGTGGCAGCATGAGGCACAGCGGGGAAGGCCTGCCTCCCTGGCCTCTGCAGACTCCAGAAGTGCGGCGGCCTGAGGCGCGGCAGGGAAAGGCTGCCTCCCTGGCCTCTGCAGCCCCTGGCAGAGCGGCAGTGTGAGGCACAGCGGGGAAGGCCTGCCTCCCTGGCCTCTGCAGACTCCAGAAGTGCGGTAGCCTGAGGCGCGGCGCGGAAAGGCTGCCTCCCTGGCCTCTGCAGACCATGGCAGAGTGGCAGCATGAGGCACAGCGGGGAAGGCCTGCCTCCCTGGCCTCTGCAGACTCCAGAAGTGCGGCGGCCTGAGGCGCGGCAGGGAAAGGCTCCCTCCCTGGCCTCTGCAGCCCCTGGCAGAGCGGCAGTGTGAGGCACAGCGGAGAAGGCCTGCCTCCCTGGCCTCTGCAGACTCCAGAAGTGCGGTAGCCTGAGGCGCGGCGCGGAAAGGCTGCCTCCCTGGCCTCTGCAGACCATGGCAGAGTGGCAGCATGAGGCACAGCGGGGAAGGCCTGCCTCCCTGGCCTCTGCAGACTCCAGAAGTGCGGCGGCCTGAGGCGCGGCAGGGAAAGGCTGCCTCCCTGGCCTCTGCAGCCCCTGGCAGAGCGGCAGTGTGAGGCACAGCGGAGAAGGCCTGCCTCCCTGGCCTCTGCAGACTCCAGAAGTGCGGTAGCCTGAGGCGCGGCGCGGAAAGGCTGCCTCCCTGGCCTCTGCAGACCATGGCAGAGTGGCAGCATGAGGCACAGCGGGGAAGGCCTGCCTCCCTGGCCTCTGCAGACTCCAGAAGTGCGGCGGCCTGAGGCGCGGCAGGGAAAGGCTGCCTCCCTGGCCTCTGCAGCCCCTGGCAGAGCGGCAGTGTGAGGCACAGCGGAGAAGGCCTGCCTCCCTGGCCTCTGCAGACTCCAGAAGTGCGGTAGCCTGAGGCGCGGCGCGGAAAGGCTGCCTCCCTGGCCTCTGCAGACCATGGCAGAGTGGCAGCATGAGGCACAGCGGGGAAGGCCTGCCTCCCTGGCCTCTGCAGACTCCAGAAGTGCGGCGGCCTGAGGCGCGGCAGGGAAAGGCTGCCTCCCTGGCCTCTGCAGCCCCTGGCAGAGCGGCAGTGTGAGGCACAGCGGAGAAGGCCTGCCTCCCTGGCCTCTGCAGACTCCAGAAGTGCGGTAGCCTGAGGCGCGGCGCGGAAAGGCTGCCTCCCTGGCCTCTGCAGACCATGGCAGAGTGGCAGCATGAGGCACAGCGGGGAAGGCCTGCCTCCCTGGCCTCTGCAGACTCCAGAAGTGCGGCGGCCTGAGGCGCGGCAGGGAAAGGCTGCCTCCCTGGCCTCTGCAGCCCCTGGCAGAGCGGCAGTGTGAGGCACAGCGGAGAAGGCCTGCCTCCCTGGCCTCTGCAGACTCCAGAAGTGCGGTAGCCTGAGGCGAGGCGCGGAAAGGCTGCCTCCCTGGCCTCTGCAGACCATGGCAGAGTGGCAGCATGAGGCACAGCGGGGAAGGCCTGCCTCCCTGGCCTCTGCAGACTCCAGAAGTGCGGCGGCCTGAGGCGCGGCAGGGAAAGGCTCCCTCCCTGGCCTCTGCAGCCCCTGGCAGAGCGGCAGTGTGAGGCACAGCGGAGAAGGCCTGCCTCCCTGGCCTCTGCAGACTCCAGAAGTGCGGTAGCCTGAGGCGCGGCGCGGAAAGGCTGCCTCCCTGGCCTCTGCAGACCATGGCAGAGTGGCAGCATGAGGCACAGCGGGGAAGGCCTGCCTCCCTGGCCTCTGCAGACTCCAGAAGTGCGGCGGCCTGAGGCGCGGCAGGGAAAGGCTGCCTCCCTGGCCTCTGCAGCCCCTGGCAGAGCGGCAGTGTGAGGCACAGCGGGGAAGGCCTGCCTCCCTGGCCTGCTGCTGCCTGCATAACTCCAGAGGCTGTGCTGGGGACTGCAGAGTCCAGGGAGGCAGGCAAGGCACCCTCGGGATGGTCTGGGAGAAGGAGCAGCTGCACAAGTGGTCCAAGTCACAGGAGGGCAAGCGGAGCCAGCGGAAGGAGTCCCGGCCCACACACCAGCCTCCCTTTCTGAGTCCCGTTGTAATGTATTAATATTTATATTTACCAAAAAATAAACAAAACAGCAAGTCTGCATAAAGCAAACCGTGAAGTAGCAAGGGAACAAACATTATATGTACATTTGTTGGGTTGTTTGTACCACAAAGTCTGCCACATGGCTTGATGGATCAGGATGAAAGTTGGCACACATTATCCTCATCACCCAACTGAAATAATTGTGGAATTTCCACTAAGAAATCTATTCGGTTTTGGGGCAGAATTCTAGTTGGCAGAATTGGGGTAGAAATCAAGCCCATGTCCGGTGGTGCCTAACCATCTTCAGCGTAACTGGGCTGCCAGGGGGCTCAGAGGACACCTGATGGGCCATAATGCAGGCCAGAACTTGCATGCGCTTTAGTACAGCTGGTAAATCACCAGCAATTATAAGATCTACCAACCGAAAGGTTGCCAGTTCAAAGCCCCGGGTCGGCGTGAGCACCCAACTGTGAGCTTAGCTGTAATTAGATAAATTAAGGATCACAACCAAATGTGGAGGGCCACAAAATTCATATTGAGTTATGCAGTATTTCTTACCTGTACAAAGGCTTTTCGACACCTTCGAAGGATCACCTATGTTTCTAACTCTTGGCTTTCTATTATTGCTTACTAGCTGTACCTGCCACGCATTGCTATAACCAACTTTCTCCCTCTTTCTCTCCTTCCTCCCCTTTTTTTCTTTCGTTCTCTCCTTCCTTCCTTCTCTTCCTTTTCTTTTCCTTCCTCCCTTTTCTTTCCCCTCCTCTTTCTCCCCTTTCTTCCTTTCTACCTATTCTTGGACTGCAATTCCCAGCAGTCCTTCTGATCAATCTATCTACCTACCTACCTACCTATATCTAATCTATCTGGAGGATTGCTGGGAGTTGCGGTTCAGGAATAGGAACTTAGAAATATGCCGGGATTAGGATGCTCTCCAAGAATTCCAAGGAGAAGAAAGCTTGAAGCTTGGAAGCAGTGCATTTGTATCATCCTCCTCTTCTAAAGGGCCTGGTCTAGGGGATGCTTGGAGCTGTAGTCCGGAAGAGAGTATGGATATGCTATTGTGTTTTGTTTGCCAGGCTGAGTCGTTTTTGCGCTTGCGCTATAGCACCTTTTTGCTTTTTTGGCTTTTAAAGTCCCTTACGCTGTGTTTTTCAGTGTTTTTATAAGTGATGGTCACTTGTTGGCCTGATAGGTGTCTTGTGTCCAAATTTAGTGTCAATTTGTTCCGTGGTTTTTGAGTTATGTTAATCCCACAAACGAACATTACATTTTTATTTATATATTCATTTGACCCACTCATGTTTGTGCACACCTACTTAGTCTGGTGCCACTCCCAAAAAATCTCAGATGGGTTGCCGCCCACAATAGTCAATCCAAACAACAACTACAAGCCACATAGGTTTACATCCATCAGAGTCTGGCATACTGGGAGCTCCATCCCTCCTGGGGCTGTCATTTCGTGGGGTATTGCTCTAGAAAATGAGCCCTGATCTCTAACAGTAAAGGCAGAAATTCCGGAAAGCACCTAAGGCAATTTCCTGTTTCTAAAGAATACATTAACAGCTGAGCATTAAATGGTTCAGATACAAACCATAGAAACTGAGCCAGCGTTACTCATCTGGACAGGCTGGATAAGGCATCCTGGGTCCCTGTTATTCGTCTGGAGCATATAAATGCTTCCGGTGCATGTAGAAGCCCCTCCTGCAAAACACATCAAGACACTGACCTGAGAGCCACCAGAAAAGCAGGAATTCCCCAAGCCCAAAAGAAGACCCAAGCCTGGCAAACACTTTTCCCAGAGTAAAACAGTCCCTCTGCCAGAAGAGATGAGGAAATGCTGAGTTCCAATCCAATGACATGACCAGGTGAGGATTTGTGGAAAAGGAAAAGGAATATGGGATGGGAAGTCTGGCTCAGAGAAAAAAATCAAACCTCAGAAAGGCTGGTATAAAAATACCACAAATAATAAACAAATCGCTCCCTCAGAGCTGCGACCCTTGGCTTGCCTTCCACCTCATGGGCTTCCCCTTACCAGTATCAACATGACCCTGCGAAAAGTGGGAAAGGGCTGCCCAATACACCATAAGTACAAAAAGCAACATGCAGGTCCATGTACCAATTTGTCCAACCCTTAGTTGTAGGCTTACTGGGCAGTTGCGGAGGCTGGACTTCCCCTGTGGTTGCTGCCACTGATGGAACACCAGGAGGCTGAATGCAAGGGTCCTGCAAAGTTGGCTGCTCATTGCTTCTGATGCCGTGGATAAGTGAAGGAGACGTCAAGGTTTCATCTAGCTTCTTATTCATCGCATTAAGTTTTTTTGCCATTAACTGGTGATATTCTGTCTAGAAAGGAGAAAGCATGTGAGAGGGAGAGAGTGAACATTAGGAAGTATTTCAGAGGGGTCAGAGGGAGAGGAGTGTAGCAGTGAACAGAGGCTTCATACATGGCTGGCGTTGGGCTACTCCCTCCAATAGCACAGATCAAAGGAAAACTGCCCATAACAACAACAACATTATTCTTATACCCCGCCACCATCTCTACGAAGGGACTCAGGGCGGCTTATGTATGGAACAAATGTCCACAACGACACAAAATCCCAGAATACTTGTTGAGTATCTAAACAAACATAAACAATCTATGTAAGGAGAAGTTATAATATCCAAAAAGCAAATAGCACAGTGTTCCCTCACTTATTGCGGGGGTTGTGTTCCAGGACCACCCGCAATAAGTGAAAAGCCACAATGTAGGGACGCTCTATTTATTTTAATATTTATACATTATTTTAGTAGTTATACACTATTTTAAGTCTTTATACATTTAAAATAAAGGGAAGGAAAGGCCCTTCAAGGCTGGAGGGAGGGAGGACTAAGGAGGGAAAGTACCTCGGAGAGCGGTGGTGGCAAAAACCCGCAAAACAGCAAAAATACAGTGATATATATTTTAAATTAATATTTTTGAAAACTGCAAAAGAACAATCCGCAAAAAGCAAACCACGAAGTAGCGAGGGATTACTGTATATATTTAATATTGCCAAAATCCCCAGTACACAGCTCAAATCAGTGACATAAAGCAAAATGAAGCAAAATAGATTTAACTCTGATATAGGTCCCAAAGAATATGGGCTTCAGGGGTACATAGAATCATAGAATCAAAGAGTTGGAAGAGACCTCATGGGCCATCCAGTCCAACCCCCAGGAAAGAAGCAGGAATATTGCATTCAAATCACCCCTGACAGATGGCCATCTAGCCTCTGTTTAAAAACCTCCAAAGAAGGAGCCTCCACCACACTCCGGGGCAGAGAGTTCCACTGATGAACGGCTCTCACAGTCAGGAAGTTCTTCCTCATGTTCAGGTGGAATCTCCTCTCTTGTAGTTTGAAGCCATTGTTCCGTGTCCTAGTCTCCAGGGAAGCAGAGAACAAGTTTCCTCCCTCCTCCCTGTGGCTTCCTCTCACATATTTATGCATGGCTATCATATCTCCTCTCAGCCTTCTTTTCTTCAGGCTAAACATGCCCAGCTCCTTAAGCCGCTCCTCATAGGGCTTGTTCTCCAGACCCTTGATCATTTTAGTCGCCCTCCTCTAGACACATTCCAGCTTGTCAACATCTCTCTTGAATTGTGGTGCCCAGAATTGGACACAATATTCCAGGTGTGGTCTAACCAAAGCGGAATAGAGCATGGGGAGCATGACTTCCCTAGATCTAGACACTATTCTATTGATGCAGGCCAAAATCCCATTGGCTTTTTTGCCGCCACATCACATTGTTGGCTCATGTTTAACTTGTTGTCCACGAGGACTCCAAGATCTTTTTCATACGTACTGCTCTCGAGCCAGGCATTGTCCCCCATTCTGTATCTTTGCATTTTGTTTTTTCTGCCTAAGTGGAGTATCTTGCATTTGTCACTGTTGAACTTCATTTTGTTAGTTTTGGCCCATCTCTCTAATCTGTCAAGATCATTTTGAATTCTACTCCTGTCCTCTGGAGTATTGGCTATCCCTCCCAATTTGGTGTCATCTGCAAACTTGATGATCCTGCCTTCTAACCCTTCATCTAAGTCATTAATAAAGATGTTGAACAGGACCGGGCCCAGGACGGAACCCTGCTGGTGTCCGCTCATCACTTCTTTCCAGGATGAAGAGGAAGCATTGGTGAGCACCCTCTGGGTTCGTCCATTTAACCAATTCCAGATCCACCTCACCGTAGTTTTGCCTAGCCCACATTGGACTAGTTTCCTTGCCAGAAGGTCGTGGGGGACCCTGTCGAAGGCCTTACTGAAATCCAGGTACGCTACATCCACGGCATTCCATGTCATGTTCAATAAAAAACCTTCCAGATGAAGTAAGCAGACGAGACTCGTGTGGCTATATGCAGAATGGAGAAAATAATGAAGATGGAGCACTGGTAATGGAGCACCGTTCCCAGAAAAGTCCAAATAAATCTACAGGGGTGCCCAGGTATTTTTGTACCCTGTTTCGGGGTAAGCAATCCCCTTGTTCAGATGATATGACCAGCAACTCTAGACTTATATCTAAAACAAAACATAGAACAGACTTATATCAGATTTAAAACTATTTTGACATTCCAGCTCCGAATGCCAGATGCTGAAAATGAGTGACATCTGCCTCCAGGACCGCTCTCAAGGATAAATAGTAGCAGCAAAGGAGGCAGAAAGGTAAAAGGCGGGAAGGGGAGAAGAGGAGAAGAGTGAGGCAAAGAGATGGGCAGTGGGGTTTCACAACAAGGTCAAGCAGAAACAGCACGAAGGACCTGTGACAATGTCAAAGAGTGCTGTCAAAGGRGGGCAATATTAAGGAAACTCTGGACTACTACTATCTCTGAATCTTTCCATTGMGTCTGGCATAAAACATACCTTACTGTTGGCCAAACTGTACACCTCCTCTTCTATTTGCCTGGCATAAGCCTCCAGTATCTTCTTTGRGGCTTCTGAGTCATTATCAGGAGATATCGTTTTTGCACTACCAAAAGAAGCAACAATAAACGCTATTACAACAACTGTGACTGGCTTGACCTTGAAAGTGCTGGGCCTGGCCATGGCCGACAGGGAGCTCTGGCATGGGCTGGTCCAGGAAGTCGCAAAGAGTCGGTAGTGACTGAACGAATAAACAACAAATCAATATACGGACAAGGCTAAAACTCTGTGTTAACTTATTTGTGGAACAAAAATGTATGTATGTATATCTTATAAGACTCTCAAGAAAGTAATATAAATCAGGATTTTATGCTCTCTATTGGAGAAAATTGTCTGAGACTTTATAGCATTTAACACGAATGTTATCAGCACATTATAAATAAATGTAGATTATCATGTCAACATAGAGAATTAATCAACAGACTAAAGATAATAAAGTCCATCCTTTCCTGGAGTCGGATTTCAGTGAAGGAATTCAAAAGTCTCTATCTTTATCTTCAAAAGAATTCTTCTTTTGGCAACACAGTCTCAAAGAATTCTTCTTAGGCAACAACGTCTTTCTTAGGCAACAAAATCTCTACAAGGTCTCCCGAGCAATGAGTCATGACTAGGCTGCCTCATTTAGTTCCTCAAGGACTAAATGACAAAATTGAATACACTTGTTTCTTGTGAGATGTAGTTCTATTTAAGAGGCAGCCTAGTCATGACTCATTGCTTGTTATAGAACTCCTACTGGAACAGAGCCTGTACTACTGAAGAGAATGTAAGTAGAGTAGCGTGTTTCTTTACTGTCATTATAAAATGTTTCTCTAGCAATGTTATTTTGGGAGTTTCATGTATCTATTGTGTATGTTATTTCTACTCCTTTATTTAGTGCACTAAGCATAATATGATAACAGACTACACCCTGAAGAAGATAATTATTCGAAACAAGGATAACATACCGGGAGACCTTGTAGAGATTTTGTTGCCTAAGAAAGACTTTGTTGCCTAAGAAGAATTCCTTGAGACTGTGTTGCCAAAAGAAGAATTCTTTTGAAGATAAAGATAGAGACTTTTGAATTCCTTCACTGAAATCCGACTCCAGGAAAGGATGGACTTTATTATCTTTAGTCTGTTGTTTATTTCTCTATGTTGACATGATATCTACATTTATTTATAATGTGCTGACAACATTCTTGTTAAATGCTATAAAGTCTCAGACAATTTATTCCAATAGAGAGCATAAAATCCTGATTTATATTACTTTCTTGAGAGTCTTATAAGATATACATACATACATTTTTGTTCTATGTTATTATAGATATTTGTGCATTGTTTAACTTATTTGTGGAACCTATTATACCTGCACTCTGGTCAGAACTGACCTTAGTACCCACAGACAAGGTACCTTCAAACCACACAGTTTCAACTGTATGTGCAACAAGCAAGCACTGTTCCTGTTGTCGATGTTTGGTTGTTGTCGATGTTTGGTGTTTAAAGAAGAGTTTCTGGTTTTGTCGATTTGATTTGTTATTTTAGCTGCCTTACTGTGGTCCACTATTGTACAGGAGGAGGCCTATGAGGGAGACACCATGACTGTAATGGATGGCACTAATGCTGCTGATGCCACTGGAGGTACAATACAATTCTCAGTTGAAAMGTTTATCTTTCTATAATCAATTCAAAATASATATGCTCCAAAGTGCAATGTCCCTCCCTGCAGTTTTGGRAGAAAACAACCCAATTCAAAAGCATGTGGTGTTCATGAATACTTACAAWTTTTGTACCAATACACAGCGCTCCTTCTGAGTGACTTCCATGTGCCAGATTTTCCTCAATCCAGTACTTGAATGTGGTGCAGAAGTTGACACAGAATAATTGAGATTTCCACTTCTGCCAAAAAGCAGTTCACTTGCATATCTGAATAATAACAATAATAACAATAATAATTTTTATTTTTACCCTGTCACCATCTCCCAAAAGGGACTTGGGGTGGCTTACAGAGCACTCGTAATGTAACAATACACACGGTGCAATAAAATACAAATATTGTCAAAGGCTTTCATGACTCGAATCACTGGGCTGTTGTAGGTTTTTTGGGCTATATGACCATGTTCTAGAAGCATTCCCTCCTGACATTTTGCCTGCATCTATGGCAAGCATCCTCAGAGGTTGTGACCTCACATCCGCACTGCCATATAAAATCCAGATTGTCTGCTTTGAACTGGATTATATGGCAGTGTAGACATATAATCCAATTCAATGCAGTTAATATGSAGTACCTGTTTTGATAATTTGGATTATATGGTAGTGTAGATCCAGCCTCAGAAAGTGGAATATGAAATTGCAACAAGACAATGGAGAACATCATATCTGAAACAGGAAACTGTTATTATCAGATATATGAGTACTTCATCTTGTTGGAAGTCAACCTCACACTGCTCAAGTCTGCAGTCCTCAATCAGGAGCAACTAGAGAGCATTAGACTAGGCTGAGGGAATCCCTTCCCTGCTCCTGACCYTCAGCTGAAGTGTATCTATTCGTTCTCTCCCTCTTTCTCTTCCTATCCTGATTGGTGATGTAGACTGGATATTCTTTAGGTTGCATGCCTTGGTTTTAAGACCATGCGGTCTCATTTCTGCATTCCGACCTCTCTGTAATCTGTGATTGGGAAAAAAAATCATGTTTGGAGGTTTTTTCCTCTTGTTTGTGAAACTTAGAAGTAATGGAGTTAGAGAGAAGCTAAGACCCAATTCCTTTCTGTCAGGACCAGGCTGTGGCAAAGTTAGTTAGTAGCCAGTTGCATWAAATCACGACTGACCGACAGGTCATGAGTTCAAAGCCAACCCGAGTCGGAGTGAGCTCCCAACCAATAACAGTCTAGTTTGCTGTTGACCTATGCAGCCCAAAAGATAGTTGCACCTGTCAAGTAGGAAATTTATGTGGGGAGGCTAATTTAACTAATTTACGACACCATAAAACCTTCCAGCAGTGTGCCTAATAATGAGGAAGTATTCCATCAAGGACTCGGTGTCACAAGTGGACGGTGAAGCAGCAGTGTGGCCGGGATCGAGCATACCCTCATGAAGCCAGAAAGCTGGAATGTTAAATTGCCTCTGTGTCTGTCTATATATGTTGTA